CTAAGGAAGAACATTCTAGATGGGAATACTTGTAATATACAGTTGATCCTTGACCAACGTGTGTTTGAACGGTACAGGTCTACTCTACTTACACATGGACTTTTTTTGATACTGCATTGGAGTGTCTTTTCTCTTATGTTTTTCTTAATAACATTTTTGTTCTAGCTTATTTTATTGTGAGGATATAGTATATAGTACCTGCAATGTACGAAACACGTGTTAATGGATTATTTAATGTTATGGGTAAGGCTTCCAGAAGATAGAGAAATTAAGTCGAACTAGGCTATTAGTAGTTTAGTTTTTTAGATTCCATGCATAAGTGAAATCATATGGTATTTGCCTTTCTCTGAGTTATTTCACTTAGCAAAATACTGGGTCTACCAATGTTGTCACAAATGGCAAGATCCCATTCTTTTTTATAGCTGAGTAATATTTCATTATATACATATAACACATCTTCTTTATCCATTCGTCTATTGATGGACACTGAGGTTGCTTCCATACTCTCGTTATTGTAAATAATGTTTCAAAAAACACAGGGGTGCATACAACTTTTCGAATTAGTGTTTTCATTTTCTTTGGGTAAATACTCAGTAGTGGAAGTATTGAATTGTATCATATTTCTATTTTTAATTTTTTGAGGAACCACAACACTTTTTGACAGTAACATTATATTCAGGATTTATAAAACGAATAATCTGACAACATTACTAGACAGGCCTTGTAAAATTAATAACTCAATACCACTTGATGGGAGAAACTTTTATTGAAGCAATTTTATAATACCATTAACAAATACTATGTAAAATATAAACTACTTTTTCATATGACGTGACTTAAGGAACTACCAATGTAATGTTATTATCTTTTCCCCAAAAGCTCTTTTCCTAAATATTTACTTCTGTGACCTTTGTTTATTTCAAGGTAAGAATTGTGCTTCGTAGAAATAGCTTGAAGTCCATTAATAAATAGAACACATCTGCAATTTTATTTATACTTTTCCATTTATCAAAAATATAGGCGGGTAAGAAAATTATACACAGAAAAACAATGTACCAATGTATCAGCAAATTTTAATTTGAAGAATTATTAACTAGAAGGATTTTCTCATAACTGTTAGTTTTCAAACTATGCCCATAGTAATCTAACGTTCCACTGGGGACAAAGCAGGATTGAGGGACAAGGAAGTCTACAGGTGTAGTCTCATCTCTCCTTTAGCTAAACAGCTCTACCTGTCTCTGTTTTATATAATACAGTTTAATGCAAAAAAAAAAAAAAATTCAAGTTCTATTCTTTGGGAAAAAAGTTTTTCCAAAGGTATAAAAGTCACTCACTTCGTCAAAGTCCCTAATTTTACATAAGAGACAAAAAGGCCCCAGAGAGATTGCAGTTTGCCTGAGGTCAAAAAACCACCTAGCTGCAAGCCAGGAATGTGGTTTAGGTCTTACTGAGCCTAGAGTTTTATGCCAGTTACTTCCTCATATTCAGGAACAATGCATGCATTTTTAACTATAACTCAGAGAATATGAATACATAAAACTTTGTCATGTGGCTCAATAATGTTCAGGCATTAGGCACAAAATAGCTTTCTAACTAAAGTATAAATTTTAAAGTCATGAACAAAAAGAAAGGAACAGAAGTTATCTTAACTCCTTTTAGTAACAGTCAACATGTGCAATTTATAAGCATAAATTTTTTTAACCAAAGGACAAGGAACTTGAAGGAGAAAATCTTTAGTCGAACCAAAGAACCTGAAACTGAGGAAATTCTTCCTTGAAAGAATTATTCATTTCCTTCAAATAAAACTTTGTTTATCCAAATCAATCAACAAATGAGTTACCTATGTTGTGGGTTATTTATAGCAAAATTTAAAACGCACAACAGATTTCTCTTTACCATCTAGCATGCTCTGTCCAACCTCTCATCATTAGTTGGTATGTACAAAAGACATGATTAACTTTAATTAGAATTTAAATCAAGTCAGAAATTATAGGTAAACCTTCATTTCCATGTGAGGACTTTTCTCTACCTTCCTCACGACAGGAAGGGAGATTTACCTAAAGGGTGAATTTGGGAGAAGGCACTAAGCAATGCATACATGGTTCCAAATCTCTTCTTTAAAAAGATGTGCCTGCCATAGTAGCATGAATTCAAGTCTGCTCTCATCTTTGTGGGATGGGCATCAAACATTTGTTCCTTCCATTACAACTGTGTGTGGAAGTGCCTAATTTGGGATAAAGTACTGGGAAGCTCGCTGTGGCTACCTACCTAAACCATATCCTCCTATTTGTTAGTATGTATTACTAATAAAGTTACTAAGCTTATCTCCATCTGCCTGACTCCTGTGTTCTCAACTCAGAAAAAGAAGAGCAATGTCATCTGCCACCTACTCCACCACAGTTCCAACAAGAAAAATGACCAGACAACACTTAGACATGTTTTCTTCTTCCTTGACTTTATAACTAACATTCATTCTTCAAAGCAACATACTTTAAAGAGGGAAAAAGTTGAAAAGAACAACTTCAGAAACAAACATAGAAAGTCAGCCAAAATGAGGAGACAGGCGAGTATGTTCCAAATGAATGAACAATGCAACACTTCAGAAAAATAACTAAATGAAACAGAGATAAGTAGTCTACCTGATAAAGAGTTCAAAGTAATGGTCATAAAGATGCTCAGCAAACTTGGGAGGAGAATGGATGGATTCAGTGAGAACTTCAACAAAGAGAACATACAAAGAAGAACCAATCAGAGCTAAAGACTACAATAACTGAAATGAAAAATACACCAGAGGGAATCAACAGCAGATTGAAAGCTGCAGAACAGACCAGTGATCTGCAAGACAGGGTAGTAGAAATCCTCCAAGCCAAAAAGAAAAAAAAGAATTTTAAAAATGAGGATAGGTTAAGGGACCTCCTAGGATCGAGCCCCACATTAGGCCCCCTGCTCAGGGAGCCTGCTTCTCCCTTTCCCTCTGGCCCTCCCCTCCCACTTGTGTTCTCTCTTGCTTGCTCTGCTCCCTCTCTCTCTCATAAATAAATTAAAATAAAAAAAAAAGGAGGGGTGCCTGGGTGGCTCAGTCATTAAGCGTCTGCCTTCCACTCAGGTCATGATCCCAGGGTCCTGGGATCGAGCCCCACATCGGGCTCCCTGCTCAGCAGGAAGCCTGCTTCTCTCTCTCCCACTTACCCTGCTTGTGTTCTCTCTCTGGCTGTCTCTGTCAAATAAATAAATAAAATCTTAAAAAAAAAAAAAAAGGAAAGGCCATAACTAGAAGTAAAAAAATTATGAAAGAAAGTTTTATTGGGGGGCGCCTGGGTGGCTCAGTCGGTTAAGCATCTGCCTTCGGCTCAGGTCATGATCCCAGGGTCCTGGGATCGAGCCCCACATCAGGCTCCCTGCTCCGTGGGAAGCCTGCTTTTCCACCCTTCCCCTGCTCTCTCTCTCAAATAAATAAAATCTTTTAAAATAAGAAAAAGAAAGTTTTATTGGTAAAAGCAAACATACAGTAGAGGTAATAGATCAATCACTTTTATAAAGCCAGTATGAAGGTTAAAAGACAAAAGTAGTAATATCAATTATATCTACAGTAATTAGTTAAGGGATACACAAAATAAAAAGATGTAAACTAAGACATCAAATAAATAAAACAAGGTGGGGTGTAAAAATGTAGTGTTTTTAAAATGTGTTTGAACTTAAGTAACCATCAACTTAAAATAGACTGCTATATACATAGGATGTTATATATGAACTTCATGTGATCACAAACCAAAAATCTAAAGGCATCCAAGCATAACACTAAAGAAAGTCCTCAAATTAGAAGGGAAGAGAGCAAGACAATAAGGATGCCGAATGAAGGAACAAGATTGAGGCCTCATTTACCACAAGCCTATGCTACTTTTGTCTACATTAATAAGAACGTGAATATACCATCAAAACCATAAACCTATGTGCATTCATTGAAATGGATATTTTAATAACAATGACACAAAGGAAACTAGCTGCTATTTAAAGACTCCCTATCATTCCCATCTTAGTCATCAATCATTCAACTGATGGCAAGGTAGATATATGTGAACTTCTTTTTAAGAATTCAAATTGTGGGGCGTCTGGGTGGCTCAGTCACAGTTAAGTGTCTGATCTTGATTTTGGCTCAGGTCACGATCTCAGGGTTGTGGGACTAAGCCCTACATCGGGCTCCACACTGAGCATGGAGCCTGCTTACCCTCTGCTCCTCACCCCCTGCTTGCACTCCCTCTCTGGAAAAAAAAAAATCAAATATTTGCTTGATTTAGCTATTTAGAAAATGCTCTACAACTGCTCAAGACATTTTGTAAAACGTGAAATAGAAGTGTTATAAGTAAAAAAAAATGCTATAAGTAAGAAAGCAATTAAAAATGTACTCTCATGTGAGAAAACAGGTCATGAGACTGGGCCCTATGTAGGGTTCCATGCTCGGGGGGGGGGGGGGGATCTGCTTGAAAGTCGCATGCTCTCTCTCCCTCTTGTGCACTCTCTCTCTCTAAAATAATACAATCTTTAGGGGCGCCTGGGTGGCTCAGTCGTTAAGCGGCTGCCTTTGGCTCAGGTCATGATCCCAGGGTCCTGGGATCAAGCCCCACTTCGGGCTCCCTGCTTGGAGGGAAGTCTGCTTCTCCTTCTCCCACTGCCCTTGCTTGTGTTCCCTCTCTCACTGTGCCTCTGTCAAATAAATAAATAAAATCTTCAAAAAAATAAAATAAAATAAATAAAATCTTAAAAATAGTAAAATATGTCAGTTTAGTTATATTTACTAAATAAAGTTAATAATAGGTATCTCTTGAAAGTAAGAGCTCCAGGAACTAAAAAAAAATCGTAAAATTTCTGTCTCATTTCTTTATTAGCGCATATAATTATGACTTTTACTTAGTGTGTGTTAGTTAAACAACTCAGAATTTCACCAAATTAAAAACAAAAATTATATCAGAAATCTGAAACCCAAGGGCAAAAAGATAACTAACCTTGGTCAAGAAAGTCTCAACGCCATTCTTTGTAGGCCGTGAGCTTGAGGTAGGAATCACTAGGTTTTCTCTCGGAGCAACATATCTATTGAACAGTGAACTATTATTCATATTTCTAACAGAAGGCAATTCTAGGACAGGGCTCATAGCAATAGTATTAATCAAAGACTTTTTTTGCTGTGTCTCCACCAGAAGTTTGGTACTGGTCTCTGCCAGCTTCTCATTAGTCCTGTTAAGATTACAAAACACAATGCTTAGTATTTCATTTCTCCCCAAATCATTCCTAAGTGACTTGCATTTTTTTAAAGTTTCCATAATAGTAAACAGAATGTGCCATTAAACGGTGTTTTAACACTGAAAATGTGACAGAGCAGACCTACAATATATAATGATAGGTTTAAAATTGCTCTAAAGGACATATATTTCTAGAGGATTCCTAACTAACAAGTAATTCAAATTAAGGAGGGACAGAAATGGCTATTAGTGATGCACATGGCTTAACAGGTAATACCTGCTGCCTTCTGGAATGGCTGGACTTAACAAGATTCTTGAGGATGCCATTACACATACTTATATTTAGTAAACCAGGATGCCATTACATATACTTCTATTTAGTAAACCAGTTTAGAGATATAAAAATATAAAACCATCCCAGGGGGCTGGGTGCTCAGTCAGTTAACCATCTGCCTTCGGCTCAGGTCATGACCCCAGAGTCCTGGAATCGAGCCCCTGCTTTTCCCTCAACCTCTGCCTGCCGCTCCCCCTGCTTGAGCTCACTCGCTCGCTCTCTGTCAAATAAATACATAAAATCTTTAAAATAAAAATAAAAATAAACCATCCCTCAAAGACATTTTCAAGCATTGGCTTTCACCACTCTTGCACATTTCACTCATTACCTCAGAGAAATTGAGCATTTGGCACTGAGGAATAATTTAGACCAACAATTGCTAGATGGCAGAGTTGTGATCAGAAAGAAATAAAACAGCTCCAGAGCCAATTAGGTTATAACACAGCTACCAGGGTACTGGAGGTGGAATCTACCCTTTCTGTCTTTCACCCAGCCCCTCCTCATGTCCACCATGGTGCTTTTTTTAGCCACTTTGGGAATTATACTGCCTTTCGGCCCCTAGGGGAATCTTTTTGTATTTCACATGTATACTTTTATGTAAGGTAGAAAAACTATAAAGAACAGTTTGTTTCAAAGCACCCTCTATTTGGTAATAATAACAAAAATCACAATCAAAAAAGTAAATTTACCAAGCTGCCAGGATGTGCAGTTGGGTTACAGATGTATTCTTCCAAAAATAAACTCACTAATATTAATAAACTCATTTCTATTTAGGGCAATTCTGACAAACAATTTTATAATAACATGCTGTCTAAATTATAAAGCTTCTAACCATTAGCTTAAAGACTAGGAGATCAGATTAACTGAAAATATTAAGGGGAAAAAAATAAAATCATGTAAAACCAAAAAAAGGAGGAGAGATGCAAACTGTCTTGGACGAACATTTCAAAGGTAAGTTCTTTTACAAACATCATTTTCCAAAATTAAACTATCTAATTGGCTTTCACTTCCTACTCATCTCATGAACCTGGCTCCATAAAAATTACACTTTAGAGGCAAATTAACAAGCTAAATCTATTTTCTATGATTCTGTTTTAACTTACTTGTTCAGTTCATTTGTCAATGACATTCGAACTTTTAATTCTTCTAGGTAGAGTTGCTTGTATTTTTCCAATTCTGTTTTATTAAAATCTTCTTGAGAACATTTCATTCTGGATAGTTCAAATTCTAGTTCTTTAATTCTGAGTTCCATTTGATTTCTTATTGAAGCATTATTAGCTTCTCTTAACTGTCCTAAGCTTTCTTGAGATGCTACTTGTGTCTAAAGCAAATTAAAAGCATACTTTTAAAATAAGTTATAACCTGGGTAATTATAGTATATTTCTTTCCTTTAGTTTTGAGTCAATGATTCAGAGAGCAATTGTAAATGTGAAAAAAAAGCTGAAGCGTAAAATATTTGTCATCAATGTCAACTGAATTAAATCTGAATGATAAAGTTCAATCATTCTTATATTAGAACTCATGCAATCTGGTAATTCAGAGAATAATAGAATCATTTAAAACTTTAAAAAAGTGAACAATACAACTTAAGAATAATTCAAGTACCGGGGGTGCCTGGCTGGCTTAGCCGGTTGAGCGCCTGACTCTTGGTTTCTGCTCAATTGTGATCTCAGGGTCATGAGATAAAGCCCTGTGTCATACTCAGCATGGAGTCTGCCTGGGATTCTCTCTCTCCCTCTGTGCATCCCCTCACCCGTGCTTTCTAAATAAATAAATAAATATCTTAAAAAAAATAATCCAAGTATGGTACAATTTTTTTTTTTTTAAAGTAGGCTCCATGCTAGGCTTGATTTCACAAGCCTGAGCTGCTCAACCAACTGAGCCACCCAGGCACCCCATGGTTAAAATTTTTAAAACACCATCTTTTCTTTTCCTGTCAATAGTCTTGTTTTATACCAAGTGATCTTAAAAAATAAAATGATTCTCTACTGTGAATCATTCTGAAAAATCAATTTAGTGAGAATAATGATGAAAACTGAAATTTTTTTTTAAAGATTTTATTTATTTATTTGACAGAGAGAGAGATAGCGAGAAAGGGAACACAAGCAAGGGGAGTGGGAGAAGGAGAAGAAGGCTTCCTGCGGAGCAGGGAGCCCGATGCGGGGCTCGATTCCAGGACCCTGGGATCGTGACCTGAGCCGAAGGCAGACGCTTAACGACTGAGCCACCCAGGCGCCCCGATGAAAACTGAAATTTTTAAAGAGAAGGAACAAATGCTTCCAGAAATTTACCAAATTGCTATAAAGGAAGTAGAGGAAAACTATACAATGCATATAACCAAAATGTAACTTGCAGTGAAATGATTAAAGCATACTACAGATCAATAAATTAACCTGGAAAAACAGATTGGCTTCTTTTAATTTTTCTGTTATGTCCAATCTTGTTCTTTCTTCAAGCTCCCGTTTATAGTGTTCTATTTTACTGTATTCTACCATACTGAATTCTACATGACTTCTGAGGTTTACTACTTGTTCCAACTTCTTTTTATTCTTCTCTAGTTTTTCATATTTCTTCTGCATTTCCTTCATAGATGTTAACTCCTGGGTAAGAAGCTGGTTGTTTGCATCCAGGTATAGACATTTTGAAGACGCAGTTTCCAGTTTTGCTGTAAGATCATCAACCTGCATGAATAAAATAATACAGTTTGGAAGTAGAGTGAAAATAGTCTAATGCAAAACTATGACCAAGTTTTTTTTTTAAAAGATTTTAAGTCTCTACACCCAACACGGGGCTCAAACTCACAACCCCCAAGATCAAGAGTCACATGCTCTACTGACAGAGCCAGCCAGGTGCTCAAATTTTAAAATAAATTCATTTTCAACAAAATGTTATCTATATTGTAAGTAGAGTCTTGGAATGTGGAACCTCAAATAACTCAGAAAATCAAGAACAAAATTAAAACCACTAGTAGTTACTAAAGGAGATCTCTGCTATCGTTCTCTTTGCCACACATTTATACTTTTATTTTTCTATGATTGTTTCAGATCTTTCCTTCACAAAATAACTGTAAGTCATCTCTTAGTAGAAAGTCTCTTAACCCTTCCCTCATCTTAACACTCCATAATTTTTTTTAAAGATTTTATTTATTTACTTGAGAGGGAAAGAGAGCAAGAGAGCAAGAGTGCAAGAGCAGGGGGAGGGAAAAGCAGACTCCCCACTGAGCAGGGAGCCCAGCGTGGGGCTCAATCCCAGCATGCCAGGATCACAACCCAAGCCAAAGGCAGACACTTAACTGACTGCGCCACCCAGGTGCCCTGGTACTCCATAAGTTTTAAAGAAGTTTTAGGAATATCATATTGACTTATGTAGGTCTCAGCAAATAAATGCTTACCAAAATAAGACTTTGAAAATAAAACTCTAATTAATGAATCTATAAAGACTGATTTTAATGCCATAAGCCTTTTTCTGAATTACAAATGTTTTATGCTAATTTGAATTGCATTCTGAGAAGAAATGATTTGCAAGGTTAAGAAATCGCATCTCTCAGTAAAAAAATTTAGTGAGATGATCCATACATTTTTGACCAAAAAAACCCCCCAAAAAACCCCCTTAATTCAACAGTATTATAATCCTTTGTTACATCCCACAAAATAAGACAAAAACAACCAAAAAACTTGCTGGAGTTTCAGTGATGCTGAATTGGGAAGAACTTCTTTCTTTTAGATATGATTGGTAAGACAAGATGAGTGGATGTGGTGGTTTTATAAATTCTTTGACACTTCTCCCATGACAATCCCCCCCCCCCCTTAATATGTGCTGGCCTTAGTAACTGGTTTCTAGTGAATAGAATATGGCAGAACTGCTGTGTGATTTTTAAGGCTAGGTTACAAAATGTGAGATAGCCTCCATCTGACTTTTTCTACAGAAGCTCACCCTTAGCATCCAGCTGTTGTGGGAAAGCCCAGGCCACCTAGTGAGTCCTCATGCAGATACTGCAGCTGAGACTGCCTCAGCTAACATCCTAGTCAAAAAGCAGCCTCAACAGCCAAACATGTGCATGAACAAGAACAAGGTTTTAGATGATTCTAGTTCCCAGCTTCCAGTCATCCCAGCTGATGCCAAATGAAGAAGAAATGAGTTGGCCTTACTCAGCCTTGTCTAAAGATGTGTGAACAAGATAAATGCTGTTTTGAGCCACTGGGTTTTGAGATGGTTGAGTATGCAGCAATAAATAACTGGCACAGATACTGATATTAAAAATGGGGTGCTGCCATTAAAAACAAAACAAACTAAAAATAAACCTCCTTTGAACCAGGAGGTAGGTGGAACCTGAAAGGATGTAGAGAAGAGTAAGAATGAAAACCAAAAGGGCTTCCAAGAAACTGTTAGTGGAAACCTGATGGCCCTTGAAGAGGCTTACAGCAAAGGTTTCTAGACAAGTGAAGAAAATGACACTAGAGGGAAAGGAACTCATGCAACAAACCACTTGAAAGGAAACTCATAGGGGAGATAAGCTAAAGAAACACTATTCAATATGAAGGAACCAGGATTTGCTGGGTTCAAATATCTGTTTCTCATTTACAGCCTCTCCACATGTTGAATTGTCAAATAATGCTAAAATAAATGGCTTCTGGGTTAAGAGCAAATCGAGGAAAACATGGTCTATGGATGAAGCCAAGACTATAAAACCCTTTATTAAGACCTCGGAAGGTTTTAAGGTGTGCCTCCAATTTCTTTAAGGATCTTAAGAGTATAAGAATTTTAAAGGCATTGTCAAATAAGAGGTTCACAGGAAACCTGAGTTGAAAAGCTTATCTCAAAAAGACCCAGGAGAATGGCTTTTCTAATGGCATGAACTCCAATAATATTCACAGAAAACTCAAAAAGTGAAGAGAATTATAGGGGCATCTGGGTGGCTCAGTCGGTTAAGCGGCTGTCTTCAGCTCAGGTCAAGATCCCAGGGTCCTGGGATCGAGTCCCACATCAGGCTCCAAGCCTGCCTCTCCCTCTCCCTCTGCCTGCCTCTCTGCCTACTTGTGCTCTCTATCTCTCTGTCAAATAAATAAAATCTTCAAAAAAAAAAAAAAAAGTGAAGAGAATTAGAGAAGCAAAAACACTGTTTGCGAGCTTGGACTAAAAGAGACCAAGATAGTACAAGCTGAAAATAGGCCTTTGGGTCTTAGAAGTCCCACAGGGAGGAAGCAGGCTGAAAAAACAGCTAAAAACACAGGTCATTCCTTATGAAAAGGACAGAACCAAGAGCTCAAAGAGTAAAGCAAAGAGCCATGGAGAAGTATTCCCATGGTTAGGACTAAGTCCTAACTAAAGAACTGACAGCATGCTTCAGGCTATATTTCAAAACTGCTATGGACTAGCGTGCTTCCCATCTTCTTTCTGAATGGGAGAGTCCTTAGCAGGTTATCCGCATCCTGCATTTTGAGTGGTAGAGAACTGTCACTTTAATTCTCAAGTCTTCATATTGAGAGGACTTGAACTCAAGGGACTATAATTCAGACACCTTAACCCCACTGCTCCTGATTAAAATGGTAAGATCTTGGATTCAAGCCTGAACCTAATGCCATGATAACAGATTTGTGGGAGGAGGTGAGTGTATTTTTCATGTTGGAGGAATACAAAAATATGCTGGTTTTTAAATGTGTCCATAGGTTTTTAAATATTCATTCTATTAAAAATAAATAAATAAAAAGACCGTGGGCCAATCTTAGTGACTTATCTCCTAACAAACAGAATATGGTGAATGTGATGCTGTGTGTATTCCAAGGCTAGGTTACAGAGGCAATAGAGCTTCTGCCTTGCTCTGTATCTCAGGCTGCTTACTTGGAATTTAGCCCTCCAATTTGTGAGGAAGCTCAGGCCACAAAGAGAGTCTAGGTGTTTCAGCTGCCTGCCTTAACTATAGTCCTAGTCAACAGCGAGCATCAACAACACCAGAAGTGATGGAACAAATCTTCAAACACTTCCATCCCCAAACCTTTCAGTTGCCCCACCTGAAGCTAGGGGAACAGAAACAAGCTGTCCTGGCCACACTTTTCCTAACAGATTTGTGAACAAAATAAATGTTATTTATTTAAGCCACTAAACTTTGGGGAGTTTGTTAAGAAAAAAAAACAAAAAAAGATAAATGGATGATAAAAAGAGTTAATAAGATACATAACTTATATAGTAGAAATTGGTCTCCATTAAAGTGGGAAGTAATAAATGTCAAGATTAATTTATTAATGACAAACAGTGCTAATGAGAAGCAGCACATAACTAGAAGCAAGATCTAAGAAGTTTTTCTCTCCATTTTCCCCCATTTAGGGTGACATTACCTATGCATTTTTTATATATGACCTTTATTATGTTGCAGTATGTTCCTTCTAAACCTACTTTGTTGAGGGTTTTTATCATGAATGGATGTTGTACTTCGTCAAATGCTTTTTCTGCATCTATTGAAACGATCAGATGATTCTTCTCCTTTCTTTTATTAATGTGGTGTATCACATAGATTGATTTGCAGATATTGAACCACCCCCACAACCCAGGAATAAATCCCATTTGATCATGGTGATGGCTTTTTAATGTATTGTTGGATTCAGTTTGCTAGTATTTTGTTGAGGATTTTTGCAACTAGGTTCACCAGAGATACTGGCCTGTAGTTCTCTTTGTGGTGTCTTTATCTGGTTTTGGTATCAGGGTAATAATACTGGCCGCATAAAATGAATTTGGAAGTTTTCCTTCCTTTTCTGTTTTTTTTTTTTTTTTTTTTTTTTTTTTTGGAGGGGGGAACAGTTTGAGAAGAATAGGTATTAACTCTTCCTTTAAGTGCTAGGTAGAATTTGCCTCTGAAGCCGTCTGGTCCCGGACTTGGGTTTGTTCAGAGTTTTTTGATTACTGATTCAATTTCTTTGCGGGTTATCAGTCTGTTCAAATTTTCTATTCCCTCCTGTTTCAGTTTTGGTAATTTGTATGTTTCTAGGAATTTATCCATTTCTTCTAGATTGTCTATTTGTTGGCATATACTTTTTCATAATATTCTCTCATAACTGTTTGCATTTCTGTGGTGGTGTTATTTCTCCTCTCTCATTTGTGATTTTATTTATTTGGGTCCTTTCTCTTTTCTTTCTGTAACTCTGGCTAGAGCCTTGTCAGTTTTATTAATTTTTCCAAAGAACCAGCAACTGGTTTCATTGATCTCTTCTAGTTTTATCTTTTTTAAGTTTCTATACTATTTATTTCTGCTGTATTTTTTTTAAAGGATTTGTTTATTTGAGAGAGAGAGAGAGAGAGTGGGGAAAGGGGCAAATGAAGAGGGAGTGAGGGAATCCTCAAGTAGACTCCCCGCTGAGCATGGAGCCTGAAGCAGTGCTCAATCCCAGGACCTTGAGATCATGACCTGAGCGGAAATCAAGAGTTAGCTGCTTAACCAACTGAGCCACCCTGGTGCCCCTATTTCTGCTCTAATTTTTACTATTTCCTTCCTTCTGCTGACTGTACGCTTCATTTATTATTCTTTTTCTAGCTTCTTTAGGTGTAAGGTAGTTTGAGATTTTTCTTGCTTCTCGAGCTAGGCCTGTATTGCTATATACTTCCCTCTTAGGACCACTTTTGCTGTATCTCAAAAGTTTTGGCGAATGTGTTTCATTTTCATTTGTTTCCATGTATTTTTAAATTTCTTCTT